ACGAACCCCATACTCAAACTTGTAATGACTATTATACTTTTTTTTAATTTTTTGATATGTTACGTAATAATATTAGTGTTTTAATTTACGAAGAGTTGGATGATTTGCTCTATTACTTGGCTCATCAGACAAGAAAGGCATATTTAAACGCTCAATTGAATGCAAACTTGTTGAATCTGAATGAAAAAACCGCTTTAATACTAGTCGACTACAAAATGAAAATACTACCTAAAACAGAATGTAAAACTAAACAAGATTGGTTTGGCAAAAAAGGCTAGTCTCTTCACTCAGTCCTTGTATATACCACACAATCCAACTCAACAAAATTACGAATTCAAGCATTTGATCATTGGTCCATAGATTCATATCAAGATTCATAGTTCACAGCATCTTCACTTCATGCAGTAATTGAAACATTAGATCCAAAACCTGAATCAGTGATAATAATATCAGATAACAGGGGTCATTACTATAATGCTGATCTAATGATGATAATAGGATATTAGCCAGAATGGTATAGAATTAATGTAAGCAGATGGATCCTTTTGGAAGCAGAAGAAGCGAAAACTACAATCGATTCTCATCATGCTTAGGTACGATAACTGCTAGTAAATTATTCATATTATCTACACTCGTATATTGACTTTTATTTTATTTTTTTATTACAATGAATCAGATATCACATGCAATCAATCAATATATTTGTTTAGGCTTTGATGTAACAGTAGGACAGGATATTGAGAATGCGATCAAAGGAATTAAAGGGACTTCTATTGCAAATCTGAATCCTATTTGGGACAGAGGTAGTGGTAATAATACATTACCTGGAAATTCTAACTAGTTTGAGTGGCAATGGCCAACAATGGGCGAATTTTCCGGATGTATTAAAGCACAGGATATTTCTGGTATAGGTGAATGGAAAATTTTTACTATAGCAGAATTAGATAAATTTCGCAAAAAAGACATTCATAAGCCCATACCACAAGTATCGACACATACTACACCTTCATCAGAATGGAAAATGCTAATGCCGAATTCATCACGTATGTCCTTAATACTGTTCAAATTTATTATATTCAGTAATAACTAGGCTTTT